ATCAAATGAATTTTAAGGACCCAAATTAAACTTTATTCAGGTAACTCTGGTTAAACATTTAATCAGCCATTTAATTATACATTTAAATAACAATTGTTCTGCCAATGAACCAACAAAGTAAACAAAAAACATGAATTTCCATTCATGTTTTCAACGATCTTTCATTTTAATTAATCCCAATTAATTTGTACTTCTTAATTCTTAATGAGCTAAATAGTAATCAGTAATTAGCTAACAATCGAAGAAACAAAAATGAGACAAGAACAGTTTATTGACCTTCGATTAGACTTTAACGGTCTAAGGTTCTTCATTTGTTGATGTTTAGGTCAAATGATTATACTAGAACATAAAAGGAAGTAAGGAGTAATCCCTCTTGACCATTCGAATAGTCTCTCTCTCTCTTTTCGACTATTGTCCAGCGTGTAAATACCTTCGCCATAAGTGATAAGCGCGTGTTAGTCGGATGTTCCCTCGGTAACAATGGGCTGATGTAATAGAATTTGGATGTATATTTAATGTCCTTGCGAAAGCTCCGGAAGTTTATTGAAACAGAAAATGATGACCGTTGGTCATCAGACATAAAAGGAAAAAACATACGATAAGTTTTGGAACTGACGAATTTGCTGCTTGATAGATGAATAAACAAAAGTAAAGAAAGGAAATTACTTTCATCTGTTCTTATCTTTTTTTCTTATCAACATCTCACTCTTTCTTATTACTCCTGAACTTTCTCATGAGCTTCCATGTGTACCTTTTCCCATGGTTGGCAAATATTTCAAATTATATTCTGAGAAAACATAAAAACATTCGACTGATAATAAACTGGAAAAAGTAAATATGATAACAAAAAATATTGATAAACCCTCATCCTGATTCCTTTTATCGCTTTTTATCAACAATTTGATTAAAATTGTAATTGTTTTTCAATTCTATTGTTCAATTATCAAACTCAGTCCATCAATAATTCACGTTAGTCTGGAAAATATTTGAATTTTCCAGAATTCTTAGCCATTTTGATCTCGAATTAATTAATCGTTGAAATTTATTAATATATTACCTGAACGTTCAGGGTAATTTGCTAAAATTTCGTGTTGATTCAAAGATAAGATAAGTATTAGTAAAAGTTCATATTCTCATGAATAGAGAAAAAACTTAAAAAGAGTCAAGAAAAGATCAATAGAACTCATTTCTTGTCCGATATTAAAAAATCGATTCATATGTTTGCAAAGAAGAGAAATAAGGAGGGAGAATGATGAGAAGAAAAAAAGAGAGTCCGTGTTACCCTGAAACACTTTGATAACGTGGCTCAGCTTAATAAGGCTTAAGAAGAAGGTAACAGTTTATTGGTGAAGAATAAGATGAAGATGAAGGAGCTTCTTAAGACTATCGCAAAAAGTCAGTCTCTTGCTCTTCTTGTTATTATTATAATGTAATAATATAATGTAAGTCTTATTATGTCTTTTCGATCAACCAAATTTTCTCTTTCTTTTCTTCTTCTCAGTATAAGGTAATTACCTTAGACTGAAAAATTAAGACTAGAAATTCGATTCTGTTTGTTTCCGATCACATTTATGAGTACAAGTATTAAATTAACATGAAAGGTTATGTCTATCAATTTTTTCACTTTTTTTATCCTTTTTAGTTAAAGGCATAACTTTTTTTGGTAATAGAATCTTGGATTTTTCTCGTGTGGGGTCAAGTTCATTTTCTATTGAAGGTAATTAAAGGTCCAATCAATGAAGAATGACCTTGATTCATTTTACTATTAAAACATAAATATTTCTTCCAGACCAAAACTGGTGAAATTTTTCACAAGTTCCATTGGGCTGAGTTACTGATTTTAATTGAAAACGAATTTTAATCAAAGATGAAGAACATTGCCAATGATGTTTTCATGGAGTTTAAATTGACAATAAACACTTATCTGTATCTAATCTGAATAACATGATAAAGACCAATGGTTATTGAAAATATGATTATCATAGTTATTATTATCCAGACCACTCGCTTTTAACAGTTAGTTAACAGATGAAACTGATTCTTATAAACACTAATATGATATGAAACACAACAAAACCATTTTGCATGAATTTGAAACTGTCCAGAAACAGTTAATTTAATCCAGAGACAATCTTGTGAATACAAAATTTACCTGCTTTACAATTACTAAAAGTTGTAATAATTATCTAAGCATTCTCGATGGTTTTTCAAATAATTTACTCCAATTATAGACTATGGTCTAGTTTTGATTCCGAATAATATTTCGATCAAATAGGATTAAAGTTGACCAAAAACACGACTAAGATGATGATAAAACTGATAATCTTTATGATTCTTTTGGATTGATTGATGAGAATCGATAGTTACAATTGTTATACTTTTTTCTCGATTGCAAAAGAAAATGAAAGAGATTTTTGTTCTGTTGATATCGATGAACATGATTATTCTTGTCGAAAATAACACAAAACTCATGTTGGAACTTCAATACCAGATAACAACAACAATAAGACAATAAAACAAACAAATAAACAAGAAAAAAGTAAAACTGATTTTCAATGAAATATTGATTCTCATCTTTATTTTTCTCTTTTTAAGGAAAATGTTGACAACTTTATTCTGTGAGAATGGTATTGATGTTGTTGATATGAATGATTCTGATCATGACAGGATAAGGAAAACCCCTTGAAGAAATGTCTCTCGTTTCATCTACAATTGGAACTTGAAATTAAGAGTTAGCTGTCAGAATCAGTTGATTGTTCAGTTCCTCAGGTAAATTGTCAATACATTTTCATCTTTTCCACCATTTCATGAGTATCATCTATTTGATTGAATTTCATGAAGAAAGAAGGAAATAAAATCGAATGTGTAATACTCACAATTAAAATTAGCAACTGATTGAAAACTGTTCAAGTTAATCAATTAATTTAAATTACTATTAGATTGACATGATGCAATATGATGTTGACACTTTTGCGAATTTGCAAGTTTTCATCATCTTGTTGTTGATGAGATAAACTCAGCAGGATCGAATAGCAATTTAAATGTCATTTGCAAATAATCTTTCGCTTTATTCAAACAAAAGAGTCGATTTTAATTAAAGTTCAATCAAAATTAAATTATCAGTTGGCAATGAAACCCTGGTTATTACAAGCAAATCAATTAACATTTATCACAACTATTAAACTTTAGACATTAGTGAACTTGGCAAGTTTAATAATTGAAACATCTTTAAATAATCAATTGAAAAACTCTGGTCCAATCATCAGCATAGGGAATTACAACGAGTTTTTCTCGGTGATGAAGAAAATCAAATAATGGACCGTTTTTATCAATTTTGTGAATAAATTCAACATTTTGTCTCAGAACAAAAACCAATTACCAATTATGCTATTTATAAAAGCCAATTATGTCTATTGTATCATATCCCCTGTTCTCGAGATGTGTAGGGTATGAACCTGATTCTGGTCGCTGAATGACCTCGAAATTCGTTATTCAGCAAAGGGTTGGAATGGACTGGATACGACAATTAAATAGGCAAAGTCTTACTACTCGCATTTTGAGCTTGATGGGTGTTTCGATTCAAAATCTTCCTTAAATTCAAAAGAAAATGATGATAATGATAAATTCACATTCACTGTCTTAGTGTTTTTCATCATCGAGCATCTTTAGTCAAAAAAGAGTGTCTATAAATTCCTTGTACTGATAATTACATCCGAGTTTTTTGTTTGAGCATTTAACTCGATAAAGTTTTTTGTATTCTCTATTTCAATGTTTCGTTTTTACTCAATGGAATCAAAATTGATTATAAGCTTTGGTTGACTGAAGAACAACGAGAACCAGAAATACAATATGAATGTTTCCTGGTAGAAGATCAGTTTTCTGTTACTTTCAGCTTTGAATAAACTTGTCTCTTCCTAAATTTACAGAAGGAAGAGAAGATAGAGATGATGAAATTGTTGATTATTAGTTGATTCTTGATGATGTTTAGTTACTGATGAACAAACTAAGAATCAAATTTTATCTGGTAAAGTGTCGATAAGAATGAAAGTAAACGGCATCAACCATTGCTGAAGACAAACACTTTTTATCATGTATTCTGCTTTAAACATGATAAGACTCTTTGCTCTCCCTAAGCAGACATCTCATCATCCTCATCTTCATCTTCATTCTGTACTTTTTACTCTCTCTCTCTCTCTCTCTCTTTCTTTCTTTCTTTCTTTCTTTTACTCTGTATAAGATAGATGAAGTTTATCCATCCAATAAGCACACACTCAATGATCAAAAGGTAACTAGTCTTTATCATCTTCATCCTTGTCTTCATCTTTTTCTCATGGGATCAACTTAACAGTATTAGTTGAGAGAATCAAGAAAAAAAGGTTTTTCTTTTTTCATCAAATAAAACAATTAAGTTTCATATCGATAATTATTGTTAACCACAACTGTATTTAATCGTCTTTAATCAATCAATATCACAGAATGATTAACATTTGAATATCCAAGTGGTTGTGCTTAAGAAAAATAATAAGCTTAATATAGTTCTCATTAAGAGATTCAGCTGAGTGAATTGATTGGAATTCGAGAAAAAATATTCTTTTATTGATATTTTTCCATATTCATTGGTTTCTCCATTTCTGATACATTATATATCTAATACATTGAATTGGAAAAGAAGCAAATTAAGTACAGGTAGTTACGGGCACCCTGATCTATTTGTTTCTAAATCGCCATCATTTTTAGATTCATGAGAATCATGAAATAGTGAATGAGTTATCATCTGAGAAATGAATCATCTGTAGTTTCTATTTATTATTACGATCAATAATATAACATTTACCTGACAGATCAACACGATTTAGAATTAGAAAAGATTATCTCATTTTATTTCTCTATAAATCTAAAGAAAAGATATAATAACTTTTCTGTCGTTAACTTTAAGAATTTGAAGGTAAGAATTTCACTGAAAACAACCAATAGAAAATAATCATTCGATTGTCTTTAAATAAGATTAAAAGAATTTTCGTTATTTTATTGGTTCAAATTTGAGGAAAATTGGTCCCTCTGGATTAAGAACCGCTGTTGGAACTTTGAATCGTAATGGATTCATGGTCTTCTCACAAAAAGTTATCCGATATTTAGAAATGATAGATGATAACAATTTACGAGCTTCTGCATTAGCCAAGTGCATTCCGAGACAAGTTCGACCACCAAAGCCATAAGGTAAAAACGATAATGGTACAATGTTTTTCCTTTCATGATAATAGTTGTGTTAATATGCTATTTCGCTTATGAAGTGTATGTTGGTTCGTTACCTGTTACTTGAACTGAATCTCTCAGGGTCAAATGTCCATGGGTCTGGCCAATATCTCTCTGAATGGTGTATCTGCCAAATAGGAGCTTCGACAATCCAGCCCTTTTCAATCGTCAATCCATCGATGTTTACTTCTTCTGATGCTTCACGATTAATGATGAACAAAGGAGGTGGGTAGCAACGAAGTGTTTCAAGCCAAACCTTCAATTCATTGTATTAAGAAAATATTATAATATTATTATATTAATAATTGGAATGATCATTTAGACAGTAGAAGCAAATTACCATTTCTGTATAAGATTCTTCTTCCACCAATTCTGTTAAACTTTCTCTCATTTTATCCTGGACATGTTGATGTTCAGCGATTGAATAAAGACAAAAAATCAAAGCATTCGCAGTAGCTTCGAATCCCGCCAAAACAATGAGATAAATGTTACCTAAAAAAGATAACTAGTTTTAATTACAATTCAATCAACAGGTTAAATTAATTTTTCCTCGAATCATTGAAAAAGCAATTAAGAATACTGTCAACATGAATATCCAACATCAGGAGAAATTCCCAATCAATTGGATAACTAGAAATGGAGTAGATATCATACCAAATAATGAGAAATATAAAGGAATGAAGCAAAGAATAAGCCTCAATTCATCATGTACATAATAAAAATTGGGTTGGTCAATTGGTCAACACAAGAATAAATATTATGCATCAGCAATAATTCACTGAGTATTCCAACTATAAGTTTACCTCAGTGTTTTTGATCAGATGAACTTTGAATGGGTAAAAATGGATAACGAAGAAAATATGAAGAATCAACATACATGTATTACAAATTGATGGAGAAGTGATAAGAGGAAGAAGAAGACAAAAAGATTATGCTCATTCAGTTATTCTGATGGTAACAGCAGGATGGAAATGAAAAACAACATGACGATGCTGATGAGATTGAGGAAAAGGAAGAAGAGAAAGAGAAAGAAATAATGGCGAAATGAGAAAGAATAGAATGTGAAAGAAGCGATTGAATGTTTGATGCCAATTTTACGAGAAAATGTATTACATTGGATGAGAATGAAAAAAGAGCAACAACTCATAAAAAGCTATATAATTATTGTAACTGTTCAATATGACCAACATCATCTAATTCAGATTCTCCCATAAGCTTTTTCATGTTACTGCAATTTAATGGCCATTCCATAGCCTCTGATCCAGAAACCGTGAAAGCTCAAGATGTTGCAAAGAGAAGAGGAAAATATTAGTTAACCAAGTTATTGATGCACATGAAACAAGGGAAAAGGAAAAGGAAAAGATGAAGAAAGTGAGAAAATAGAAAAGAGAAAAGAGATTGAAAGAGATTATCTAATTTTGGACATAAATCTTATTTTTAGCTTTTTCAGGCTTAAATCCTTTTCATTTCTTCAAAGAATCTCAAATCTCTGGTTAGAGATTAATTGTCAATCTCGTGTTATTATTATTCAATTTTAAGAAAGAAAAGGTTCGCTTATAATTACACAGTTCGTAACAATGTCAACGGTAAACTTATCATCCTTATCTTCTTTCTCTTCCACATCCACATCCTCATCTTAATCACCTTCAAACATTTCCCTTTTAGTTACTTTCTCCTTTTCTCTCTAATCTATTCTTGATGTATGATCGTAACAAGAGACGAACCATAAATAGTTGTACCATGAAATTATTTCGCTTCGTATTGAACCTAATCAATAGTCAACATTTAGTTTAAATTAACTTGATTTTGATGAATGGAACAATTTAGTCAAATATAAAGGCATTTATAATATAGGATTATAATTGAATAAATTGTGATTTAAATGGTCAAATGGAAACAAGAAAACAGGCAATTAGATGTTCATCAATATTCACTTAATCATGTCGTTTCTGCTCAGTTAATGAGTTAATTTTGTGAACAATTAACAACAATTTATTGATGGAAATCTTAACCAAAGTGGCTTAAAGTCACGATAATCAGTCAAGATAATAATCTTCAGGTTGCTTACCGATTAATTCTTGTTGACTCAATTTACCATCAACGAGAAATTTCAACATGGATTCCAAGAAAACGGGTTTTCCCGGCTCATCATCGACCGATTGTGCTGATTTAAATTCGATGAAATATCTGATTTGGTTTTTCAGATTAGCAACAATTGAATTGGTCATTTTTCCAGAAGTCAGATAATTATTGATAAACTTTAATAAGTGTGAGAAAAGAGGAAAAGCTTCGGACAGAAGAACCGCATTGTTAAAAGCATTGTCGAAAAATTCGACAACGGACTTTACTAATTGATCATTTTCCGAATAGCAATTAGATTCCATTCCAAGAGATGTGCGACAAATTATATCGAAAGTGAATCGATGAATGTTGTCAACAATATCGACAATGAACGGTGCACCTTCGTCTACATTTTTTGGCCTGAGATGTTCAAGATAACTTTCAACACATTGGGAAATGATCGATGTCAAAGGAGGGGAATCAACTCGAAAACGACTCAATAAAGGTGATATTGTTTTCCTTGACCGTCTCCATGTTTCTCCACCAGTTCCGAACAAAGAATCTCTGAGAGGGACAATATCAATAACCAAAGATTCTCTATCTTGAAACGCCTTGTGCACGGAGATCTTTCTCAATAGATGAGCATCGTTCACGACAAGTCGACATCGATTCGGTG